TTTTAATGATCTGAGTAAGTTTGGGCTGCTATAATAGAATATCACAGACTTATATACAACAGAAATTTGTTTCTCATGGTTCTGGAGGCTAGAAATGTGAGATCACAGTGCCAACATGGTTGGAATCTGGTGAGGTCCTTTTCTGGGTTGAGGACTGCTGACTTCCTGCTGTGTCCTCACGTGGCAGAAAGGGGGCAAGGAAGTTCTCTGGGGCTCATTATATAAGGGTACTAATTCCATTCATGGTGGTTCCACCCTCAAGACCTAATTACCTCCCAAAGGTCCCACTTCCTAATATTATAACCTCAGGGATTAGGATTTCAATTTATGAGTTTTGGGGGGACACAAACATTCAGTCCATTGCAATGATCATATGAATTATTAAGTATATGAGTTCCTGCCTCCGTCCCTCACCCCTTCCCAGTGTGACCCTTCAACTAATTCTTAGTGAGTGCCTACCATGTGCCAGCCACTGTTCTGGAGGGAGATGCAAGATAGACAAGTTCTGCCTTCACTGAAATTACGTTCTAGTGGAAAAGACAGTAAGTAGTACAATAAATAAATAAATGTATAATGTAATGTGAAGTAATGGGTAGGTGTTATAAAGAAAACTAAAACATACTGAGATCCAGAGGGGTGCCGTTTGAGATAGGATGATCAGGCAAGGTTTCTCTGAGAGTGTGGTGTTTGGGCAGAAATTTGAGTGAGGTAAGCAAGACATGCAAATGTGTGGAGGAAAAAGAGTTTCAGGTCTAGAGAATAGCAAGTGCAAAAGTCCTGTCACATCTCAGATTCTCCAGAAAGCAGATGTTGAGACGGAGTTGGAAGGACAAAGGATTTACTGGGGAGTAACACCTATGAAAGGGAAAGGAAGGAAATAGGATTGGGCAGAGGAGCCATCAGACTTGCATGCACCTCTCAAATTCTTTGCCAGCCCAATGGTTCCAGAGCAGTACACCAAGGAGAGCTGATACAACATTCCGCATTTGGTGGAGGAAATGACCATGCCTTTCTGCCCAACTTTGCTCGGTCATTTGACCAGGGACTGTCCTGAGAACAGAGCGCTCTCAGCTGAGGAAAGCTGAGGTGGGCCTTGAGGAAGCTAATACTGGAGTTGTAAGTTAACCATGCTTCTTGTAGTTTGGGCAGAAATTCCTTTCTTTGAAGGGGAATCTGGGTGGTCCATCTCTGTTTCTGCCACAGGCCCTTAAAACAGAAATATACTCGGTGTGTTCAAGGAACTGCAAGAAAGCTAATGTAGCTGGAGAAGCATGAGAGGGAGGGATAGGGGTCATGGCTAGGCACGTAGCAGAGGGCCAGAGCAAGCAGCGTCCGTGGGCTGTGGGAAGATGTTGGAGTTCATTCTCAGTTTGGTAGAAAGCCATTAGAGGATTTCAAGGAATGACGTATGTTTTACATTTTGAAAGGATCGCTCTGCCATAAGCCATTGTGTCTGTTTACCTATTGCTGTACAACAAACCACTTCAAAACTTATTGGCTTAGAACAGCAGTGGCTTATTTTTCCTCAGTTCTGTGAATGTCCTGCTGGACTCACCTGAACTCACTCACCTGGTTGAATCTGGGTGTTTTAAGATGGCTTCACCCACATGTCTAGACCTCACCTGGGACAGCTACAGTGACTGGGATGGCTAAGCCTCTCTCCATTTGTTCTTTCATCTTCTGCTGCTTCATGTGAAGGTGGAAGTGTTCCAAAAAGTCAAGCTCTACTGTGTAAGCACTTTTCCAGCCTCTACGGGAATCAAGTTTGCTAGTGTTCCCTTGGCTAAAGCAAGGCAGATGTCCAAGCCCAGAGTCTACATGGAAGGAGAATATATGAGGGTGTGGATATCTGGAAGTGTGATTCATGGAGGCCATTGCTGTAACAATTTACCATATTAAATATAGTTTTAGTTACCTCCTTTTTTCTGATCCTCTGCTCATCAATTTATCCTCTGTGTATAATTTAACTTCCTACATAAGTGTGTTTCCAAGAAAATAATGTACCAGTTCCATAGACTTCACATATTTCCTATTGCTGGGATAGCAATTTCTTACTGTAAAAGAATAAATTGGCTGGTTTCAAGGACAAAATGCCCACTATATGGACTTTGATTATTTCTTACTAGATCAGTGTGGCCTGGGGACCCTCCTAGCTAAGAATTATTGTGCCACTGTGATCCTTCTCAAGACTATAATGGTGTTATGTGTAAATGTGTGACTTCTGTTACTTCCACTGCTGATGGAGCTGCATTGAGATTTTTAAAAAAATGTATTGAACCGAAGAACTGTCATTCATTGCTGGTGGGAATGCAAAATGGTACAGCTACTTTGGAAGATGGAGTGGAAAACTAAACATACTCTTACCATACTATTCAGTAATTGGCACTCCTTGATAGTTACCCAAATGTGTTGAAAATTTGTGTCCACACAGAAACGTGCATACAACATTTTAGCAGCTTTCTTCATAACTGTCAAACCTTGGAAGCAATCAAGGTGTCCTTTATAGGTGGATGGATGAATAAAATGGCATACCAAGGTAATGGAATATTATTCAGCACTGAAAAGAAATGACCTATCGAGCCATGGAGGAAACTTAAATGCATATTACCAAGTGAAAGAAGCCAATCTGGAAAGGCTACCTACTACTATATGATTCCAACTATATGACATTCTGGAAAAGGCAAAATTGTGGATACAGTAAAAGAATTGGTTTCTAGAGTTTTGAGGGGAGGAAGGGATGACTCGAGCACAGAGGATTTTTAGGGCAGTGAAATGATTCTGTATATAATAATGTTTGGCATATATCATTATGTGTTTGTCTAAATCCATACAATGTACAAGACCAAGAGTGAACTCTAAATTATGTGATAGTGACCTGTCAGTGTATCTTCATCAGTTGTAACAAATGTATCACTCTGGTGAGGGAAGTTCAAAGTGGGGGAGGTTGTGCACTTGTGGGGAAAAGAGATACATGGGAATTCTTTGTACTTTCTGCTCCATTTTACTGCCGGTATCCAAAACTGCTCTAAAAAATTGAACCAGTAGTTATCATTTTTCCTCAAAAAGTCAGCTTGATATCAGTCATCATGATCTAAACTTTGTAAGACGTTTGGCAAGAATTTAACTTTATTATTTTTTTAATTTTTATTTTTTTAAAATATTCTATTTATTTTTTTGACAGAGACACAGCGAGAGAGGGAACACAAGCAAGGAGAGTGGGAGAAGCAGGCTTCCTGCAGAGCAGGGAGCCCGATGCAGGGCTTGATCCCAGGACCCTGGGATCATGACCTGAGCTGAAGGCAGACACCCAATGACTGAGCCACCCAGGCGCCCCTAACTTTATTTGTTTTTTAATAGCAGTTTCAGGTTTACCACAAAATTGAGAGGAAGGTATAGAGACTTCCCATGTATCCCTTGCCTGCACACATTCCCCCCTTATCAGTATCCTCCCACCAGACTGGTATGTTTGTTATAATTTGTTACAATCTGTATTAACACAGCGCCCTAAAAATCCTCTGTGCTCAGTCTATATGTTCCTCCCCCACCATTTTGTTCATTTGACAAACTATCTTTTTTTACAATTTTTTTTATTAACATATAATGTATTATTGGTTTCAGGGGTACAGGTCTGTGATTCAACAGTCTTACGCAATTCGCAGCGCTTACCATAGCACATGCCCTCCCCAGTGTCCATCACCCAGCCACCCCATCCCTACCATACCCCTCCCCTCCAGCAACCTTCAGTTTGTTTCCTGAGATTAAGAGTCTCTTATGGTTTGTCTCCCTCTCTGGTTTCGTCTTGTTTCGTTTTTCCCCTCCCTTCCCCTATGATCCTCTTTCTTGTTTCTCAAATTCCACATATCCGTGAGATCATATGATAATTGTCTTTCTCTGATTGACTTATTTCGCTTAGCATAATACCCTCTAGTTCCATCCATGTTGTTGCAGACGACAAGATTTCAGTTTTTTTGATGGTCTGCGTAATATTCCATTGTGTATATATACCACATCTTCTTTATCCATTCATCTGTTGATGGACATCTAGGCTCTTTCCATAGGTTGGCTATTGTGGACATTGCTGCTATAAACATTGGGGTGCATGTGCCCGTTTTGAATCACTTGTATCTTTGGGGTAAATACCCAGTAGTGCAATTGCTGGGTCGTATGGTAGCTCTATTTTCAACTTTTTGAGGAACCTCCATACTGTTTTCTAGAGTGGTTGCACCAGCTTGCATTCCCACCAACAGTGTAGGAGGGTTCCCCTTTCTCCGCATCCCCGCCAACATCTGTCGTTTTCTGACTTGTTAATTTTAGCCATTCTGAAAGGTTTGAGGTGGTATCTCATTGAGGTTTTGATTTGTATTTCCCAAATGCTGAGGGATGTTGGGCACTTTTTCATGTGTCTGTTGGCCATTTGGATGTTTTCTTTGGAGAAATGTCTGTTCATGTCTTCTGCCCATTTCTTGATTGGATTATTTGTTTTTTGGGTATTGAGTTTGATAAGTTCTTTATAGATTTTGGATACTAGCCCTTTATCTGATGTGTCATTTGCAAATATCTTTAGACAAACTATCTTAAGTGTAGCTGTGGACTTTATTAAAGATTTTATTTTTATTTATTTATTCATGAGAGACGAGGAGAGAGAGAGAGAGAGAAGCAGAGGGAGAAGCAGGCTCCCAAGGAGCAGGGAGCCTGATGCGGGACTCGATCCCAGGACCCCGGGATCATGACCTGAGCCGAAGGCAGACGCCTAACCATCTGAGCCACCCAGGCGCCCGCTGTGGACTTTATTAATTGGGTATTAGCTGTTGTAATTTTTACAGATTGACTTAATTGGATCAGGTCAAGGTTTCTGTGTTACATATAAAGCAGAACTATTGTGAAGGAAAACATATTTTTGATAGTAATACAGATTAATTAAAACAGAATATGAAGAATTCTGCATTCTTCCTCCTGAAAATTAGTAATCAATACTCTTCAAATATTTTCTGTTTTGCCAGATACTGACAATATGAAGCCACTGGAGGGTGTAAAAATTCTGGATCTAACAAGGTTTGTATTGGTTTATCTGGTTTTGGTGATTGAATTTTTCCTTTCTTTAAAAAAATAACCGTTCATTTGTTTTTTGGATTATAATGCTTACTTATCAAAGTTTTAGAAAGGAACACAAAAAAGAAAAATTTGTATAATTTCATCATTCTAAGAGATAATTAGTATATTTGTGCATTTTTCCAATCTGCATATTTATATATAATTTTTAAAAACAAAAATTAGAACCATATTGAAATTACAGTTTTAGGGGCACCTGGGTGGCTCAGTTGGTTAAGTGTCTGCCTTCGGCTCAGGTCATGATCTCAGGGTCCTGGGATCGAGCCCCGCATCAGGCTCCCTGCTCAGTGGGGAGTCTGCTTCTCCCTCCCCCTCTGCCCTTTTCCCTACTCATGCTCTCTCTCTGAAATAAAAAAATAAAATCTTTAAAAAAAATGAAATTACAGTTTTACCCACATTTAAAAGATAATGTTATATTTTGTGTATTTTTCCATGTCATTCAAAATTTGAGAAAAAGGTAAGATGATACTTTATTATATAGTTGTCACATAATTACTCATCCCCCAGTATTTCACAATTATAAATTAGGTTTCCTTTTACGTAAATTTTTGCCTCAGGAAATCTTAGGATTTCTTCCTTAGCATAGAATTCTGGAAGTGGAATTACTGCATCAATGAGAATATACTTTTTTTAAGTTTTTATTTATTTATTTATTTATTAGAGAGAGAGAGCATGTGCATGCGAGCGCATGATGGGGGAGGGGCAGAGGGAGAAGCAGATTACCAGCTGAGCAGGGCACAGATGTGGGGCTTGATCCCAGGACCCTGAGATCATGACCCAAGCCGAAGGCAGGTGCTTAACCGACTAAGCCACCCAGGCGCCCCAAGGGAATATACTTTTTTAAAGCTCATAGTACATAAGGCCAAATTGCTACTCTAAACAGTTTTAATAGTTTTAATTCTTACTAGCATTATATGAGGTTGTCTGTGTTAATGAACTATTAAGAATTAATATAAAAATCTTCAAGGTGGTAATTATTTGTCATTGTTAATATTGTAGAGTACTGGCGGGACCTTTTGCTACTATGAATTTAGGAGATCTTGGAGCAGAAGTTATAAAAGTGGAAAGACCAGGTAAAGCTATCACTTCCTTTAAAACATAGAAACTAATCCACTTTTTTCTTTTTTAAAGATTTTATTAAGTAATCTCTGAACCCAATGTGGGGCTTGAACTCACAGCCCTGAGATCAAGGGTCACATGCTCTTCCGACTGAGCCATCCTGGTGCCCCAAACTAATACAGTTTTTAACTGTTGTTGTTGTTGTTGTTTTTTAATAACCATGTATCTATATATGGGATGAGAGAATTGAAATGAAATGATTATTTTTTTCTTCTCCATTCCTTATTTTGCTCTGAACCTAGACTAATGATTTCTTCTTACTTTTTATAAGCTCCCAGGGCTAAGGCTTCAGCCAGGCCCTTCACACGTACCTGAAAGCCTCCGGTAGAGACTGAAATGCGCCATGTAGTAACAGTGATGGTAACGCTTATCATGGTGTCAGGCACAGGTCTCAGCACTTTGCCTGTATTAATTTATTTAATCTCTACAATAACCTTATGGGCTGATGCTTTATTATTCCTAGATTATAAATGAGAAGACAGAGACACAGAGACATAAAGCAATTTGTCCAAAGTCACACAGCTAATAAGGAATATCCGTGCACTCAGCTCTGGTCCTGGCCCTCCTTAGCCCCACACAAGCCTTACCATTGAGACTGAGTTTAAGAGTTGGCTTGGCCACACTCCCTTGGTGGGGAATGAAGGGAAGGCCAGGGGGAGGGGAGGGTAAAGGGAGGAAGCAGGACACACAAGAAGGAGAGAAGGAAAAGGAATCTGAGTCCTTCTAAAAGTAACCCAGGTACTCCGATACAAAAGTCATCCTGGGGGCGCCTGGGTGGCTCAGTCCTTAAGCGTCTGCTTTCGGCTCGGCTCGGGTCATGATCCCAGGGTCCTGGGATCCAGCCCCGCATCGGGCTCCCTGTTCCGTGGGAGGCCTGCTTCTCCCTACCCCACTCCCCCTGCTTGTGTTCCCTCTCTCGCTGTGTCTCTCTCTGTCAAATAAATAAATAAAATCTTAAAAAAAAATAAAAGTCATTCTTTTCTGTTTTTAATAAAACAAACGTTTTCTCATTTTATAATTTTAAAGATTTCGCAGGAGAAACATTGAAGCTGAGATTAGTTTTGTTTTTGTTTTTCATCTCACATCTTTCCCATTTTTTCTTTCCCCTTTGTCCACCAAATAAATCTATTCTGTGTACACAATTCTCACTTTTATTTGGTACCTTCTTAGTATTTTGGTTTTTAGCTCATGCTTTTTTTTTTTT